GAGGTGACCCAAACAAGATGCATAAATGGCCAAAAGCAGGTGAACAGATTATCAACATCATTAGTCATTGGGGAGATGCAAATCAAAACTACAACGATATACCATGCCACACCCACTAGGATGAATATAATAAAAAAGATGGACATACAAGTGTTGGTGAGGATGTGGAAAAATTGTAACTCTAACACATTGCTTGTGCAAATGTTAAACTGGTGCAGCTATTTGGGAAAACACTTTGCCAGCTCCTCAGGATGTTAAACATGGATATGATGCAGCAATTCCAATCCTAGGTATAGATCAGTGGGAAATGAAAATATGTATCCACACAAAACTAACTTATTGCCAATGAGGGAGAAGAAGCCAAGAGTTCACAGTCTACTGCATTTCATCCAGGGGTGCGGTGGGAGAGGAAGCAGCAATTAAAGACCAGGGAGTTCCCAGGTGTCACCACCTTTGCAGGGTGGCCCAGTATTAGACAAACAAACCAGTACAGAACGCTTGTGCTTCCAACTGATGATGTCAGTCTGAAAACTTACAGAATTTTTCCAAGAGCAAAAAGTAATAAGAAACAAAGAAACAGAGAAAGAGGAAGGAAGGAAGGAAGGAAGGAAGGAAGGAAGGGAGGGAGGGAGGGAGGGAGGGAGGGAGGGAGGGAGGGAAAGAGAAGAAGAAAGTGCTTTGAATTGTTTTTATAGTAGTAGAACTGGCTTGGGTGGCTCCATCCACATGATATCCCCTAGATTCTAGGACGTAAGTGCACGTTCTATGGCTATAATAAGAGTTTTTCTTGGATTTCCAGTAAAGATGGCAGTGTAGGCAGACATGGCTTGCCTCTTCACACAAACACATCAAAATTACAGCTAAAATATAGAACAACTATCATTCAGAACTGTCAGATATCAAGTAGAATGGAAGTCTGACAACCATGAAATTAAAGAAACCACATCCATCCAGACATGTAAAAGGGGCACAAATGTGAAACAGGCTGGTCCCACAACCACGTGTAGTGGATGAAAATTCAGGAAGGCCGCCTCAGCAGCAAGGAGTCCTGCCTCACACCAGGCCACCCAGCCCGGGGTTCCAGTGCCAGGAAGAAAAGTTCCCACAACTTCTGGTTGCAAAAACCAGTGAGGATTGAGACCATGGAAGAAAATTCTGGAGCCCCAAGCATTTCCTCTTAAAGAACCAATACACAGAATCACCTACTCAGACTCACTCCTTCTGAGCTCCAGCACCAGGATAGCAGCTTAAAAGACACCAGTGGCCTACTGGGAGAAACTAGGGTGTATGGCATCAGGGAGAGACAGAGGCCATTGTCCCTTTTCTGAGCTCTCCCCCAACAGAGCCACTGAGCCAGCAAGCTGGTGCCATATCTGAGACTCCGTCGACCCTACTAACACAGTTTGATCCACCTTGGAGATCCCCAGAGACTCTGCCCCACCCAACTTTCAGGTCCACCTGACCTGCTTTTCTATATGAATGGCTGGTCTTGGCTCATGATGCACAACTTCCTAAATCCTCTCAAACAACCAACAGCTGGCCTCAGTGAGCCCCAGGCTCAGCACTAGCAGCAGCCAGCCTAGATTCACAACTTGGCTTCACTTGGGAATCTCCAAGCCCAGAATAAGTAGAGGCCATCTCTGATTGCTTTGTAGCTCAGGCAGGGTGACCCCAGGCAAAACACAGGTAGGGTCTGACCTTGGGCTACACCACTCAAAAAACCCCAGAGCCTGCATACCTGGTGGACAGCTACAGACCACATCTGGACCACCACCACCTTGCCCTCACACAGCTGATCCTCCAAGGAAGATGGAGGTTTGTGGTCAGTGGTCACAGCCAATCCTTGAAGCTGACTGGCCTGGGAACGTCCCTTCCATTGACCTGACAACAGCAACCAAAGCTAAACTACAAGAGGAAGATGTACTCAGCCCACACGAAGGGCACAGCTAGAGCACCCAGCTTAGGTGACAGGGGAGACTGTGCCATTGGACCCTGCAGGACACCTACTACATTAAGCCACACTGCCAAGACATGGAGTCAAAGCAGGTCTACCTAAAATACAGAAACAAACATAGGGAGGTTGCCAAAAGAGGAGACAAAGAAACATGGCTGAAAATAAAAGAACAGATCAAAACTACAGAAAAAGAACTAAACAAATTGGAGATAAGCAATCTATCAGATGCAGAGTTCAAAACACTGGTTATAAGGATGCTCAAGGAACTTAGTGAGGACCTCAGCAGCATAAAAAAGACCCTGTCAGAATGAAGGAGACACTAATTGAAATAAAGAACAATTTACAGGGAAATAACAGTACAGTCGATGAAGCCAAGAATCAAAGCAATGATTTGGAACATATGGAAGCAAAAAACAACCAATCAGAACAACAAGAAGAAAAAAGAATCCAAAAAAGTGAGGGTAGTATAAGCAGCCTCTGGGACAACTTCAAGAGGTCCAACATTTGCACCATAGGGGTGCCAGAAGGAGAAGAGAAAGAGCAAGCAATTAGAAATCTATTTTAAAAAATAATGAAAGAAAACTTCCCTAATCTGGCAAAGGAAATAGACTTTCAAGCCCAGGAAGTACAGAGAGCCCCAAACAAGATGGATGCATAGAGACCCACTCCAAGACACATCATAATTAAAATGTCAAAGGTTAAAGAAAAAGAGAGAATCTTAAAAGCAGCAGGAGAAAATCAGTTAGTTACCTCCAGGGGAGTTCTCATAAGACTGTCAGCTTATTTCTCAAAAGAAACTTTGCAGTCTAGAAGGGACTGGCAAGAAATATTCAAGTCATGAAAAGCAGGAACCTATGACCAAGTTTGCTCTACCAAGCAGAGCTGTAATTTAGAATCGAAGGGCAGATAAAGAGCTTTCCAGACAAGAAAAAAAGTAAAGGAGTTCATCATCACCAAACCATTATTATATGAAATATTAAAGGGACTTATTTAAGAAAAAGAAGATCAAAACTATGAACAATAAAATGGCAAAAATACATATCTATCAACAATTGAATCTAAAAAACAAATTAAGCAAACAAGAACAGAGACAGAATCATGAATATAGAGCGCGTTTTGATGGACTCCAGATGAGGTGGGGTGTAGGGGAATGGGTGAAGAGGTGAGGGGATTAAGAAGTACAAATAGGTGGTTACAGAATAGCCATGGGGATGTAAAGTACAGTATAAGAAATGAAGTAGCCAAAGAACTTATATGCATGGCTCATAAACATGAACAATGGTGGGGGAGATTGCATGAAGGAGTGGGGGGTGCTGGGTAGAGGGGGGAAAAGGGGAAAATTGGGACAACTATAACAGCATAATCAATAAAATATAATTTTTAAAAAGAAAAAAGAAAGAGTTTTTCTTTAAGCAAAACTTAAGGACATCTGGCCTCATGATTTCCAGGCACTCCCAATTCTTACATCTGTAAAACTAAAACTGTCTAAAGAGTGACATGACGAGTCCTCAAATCTCAGACAGAAATGGCATAAATAATGTCAGTACCGTATGTTATGTGTACATACTGTACTCTGAAATCGCTTTGTTCAGGAGCACATCTCTGGCCACCCAAAGTGTACAGAAAGAATTGGACCTTAGAAGTAGCTGCATTTGATTGATGGGAGAAGCCACTTTGTAAATTTTGAGAAATGTTAGGAACTTCCCAAAGCCTTCCCTAGAAGGTGAAGGAAACTGGTTCCAGGTCAGAGAGCAAGTTAGCAATAGAGCTAAGATATAAACCTACACGTACTGACTCCTTTCACCTTATTATTACATTTGGAGGCCTCCTTATTGTTAGAGCTGGTAAAATATCACATTGTATTCATATAACTCTAGTATCACACAAAGTTCTGCATGTACAATCTCTCCTTTTGGCCCCTCAATGACCCTGTGTGCTAGGGACAATAAATGCAATTGTTCTCCCTTGCAGGATAAGAAGATTGCAACTCAAGAAGGCACACTGTAGTCTGTAACAGAGTCAAGGCTATCACCCAGCTCTCCTAATGGCCTCTGCACAGATCTTTCTGCCATGCCACCCTGGTTGGTGCCTTCCATCAATAACTTTGGAAAACTAGTTTGAGACACCAGAATTGAAAAGAAAGCTCATTTAAAAAATAATAATTACATATTTTGTAGGTAGAAACATGAAACACTCAAGTCTCTCTGCCCCTTCTCCTGCTGGGAACTTAAAGGTCAAACTAAGTTCCCTAGTTTTGCACAAATTCACAGCAATTAAGACTTTTCACTGTCAGGGAACTACTTTTCCCAACTGATGTATCCTAATCAAATCAAACAAAATTTAAATACATGAAATGAAAGGGAAGACACTGTCTGTAGTCCTCCCTTACTTATGGCCCATGCTTGTCTCTGTTTTCGTGATTGAGTTTTCAAGCCAGGGGCATATGGCCAAAGACTATTTGAATTGGCAAGTATTCCAAAAAAAAAAAAACACCTAACAAGCTAGTGGGTGGGAAGTGCAGCGCCCGGGGTAGCGGATGACCTGAATTCCAGCCTGAGTCCTCTCCAGTGTCATTCCCGGTGTGGCCCTAAGCAGCCACCTACACTTAAGGCGGCTAGCGTTCACGGTAATGTAAGGGGGCTGGGTCGGTGCACACAGATGGATTTAAACGTGTGATTGTACTCATGCTTTGCATGCATAAATCCATAAAGGTAAATTTAAAACAATAGATGTATATATTGTTAAGTTTCCTTCATCAGAAGTCGCGTTCTTCCCTTCCCGCCCTTCCCCCGCCCCGCCCTTCCCTGAGACCCTCCCCGGCCCCTTCGGCGGACCCAGGCGGGGCTTCTCTGTGCGCGGCCGAAGTCAGTTGGTGCATTGACAAGCTAAAAAAGGGCAGGCGCCGAGCACTTGACCCTGAGGCCGGGGCAGTCCCTTACTATTCCTAATTCCGGGCCACCTGTTCCCGCAGCCAATGGGCGCAAGAGGGGCGGCCCGGGCGGGGCAAGGCTACAAAAGGCAGCGGGCCGCGCGCCCAGACAGCCAGCAGCGGGCGCGCTCTCGGGACCGCGGACTCACGGGCCCCCGCGCCCGGACCTCAAGGATCACCTGCCGGGCGGGCGTGGTGCGATGCTTCGGGTGCGGTGTCTGCGCGGCGGGAGCCGCGGCGCGGAGGCGGTGCACTACATCGGGTCTCGGGTGCGTGCTCCGCCCGCCTCCCTTGTTCCCTCGCCTTCCCCTAGCTAGCCTTGCAGGACCTGGTCCCTTCTGGTCCCCCTTGGAAGCTTGGTTTCAAGAGCCTTTGCTAGTTGCCGGGAGCTTGGCGGTGCCCCGGGCGAAGAGGACAGGTGCTCTGCGGCCACGCCCCGTGGGTACAGTTGGTCTCTGCGCCTCTCAGGCCACGCTGGCCATCAGCCCAGGGGACGCCACCCCCCCCCCCCCCGCCCCCCAACCAGACATTTTTCGCTCCACGGAGCTTGCGGCCGGGTGTGAGGGAATGAGGGCAGCAAGTAACACCTCTTAGCAAATGGGTGGTGTTATCGGGTTCATTGCCTTCGGTGGGCATAGATGCGTGTGGGGTGGACAGGAGGGGCAAAGTGGGGCTGGAGGACGGAGAGGGAGCGAGCAGGCCCACCCCAAGTGTAACAGGGAGTCCTGCCTGAGTTGCGACAGACGTTGCAGTTCGGGTTGTACCGAGTTTCTGCCGGATCCCCTCCCGCGGCTGCCCTAGTCAGTGGGCGCGCGCCTGCAGACCCTCCCTAGTTCCCAAAACTGGAATATCAAGGCAGTTTCGTCCCCTGCTCTCCCTTCCCAGCAACTGGCTCCAGAACAGCTGTCACTCTCCTCTCTTTGGTCCCCACTGCTGGCATACCCTACGGCCTCCTTCCTAAGGCTTTAACAGAGATTTGGGACTTGTGATCTGCACTGGGGATGAGGGACATTCTCTGCTCTCTAATTTTTATAGATCCTGCATTTTCAAAAGGCTTTTCTAAAAGTTCTTAGATCTCCTTTCTAGTTGTGTAAGTTTGTGCCCGGTAAATTTTTATCTTGGTGAGGGGGCCGTGGACCAGGTGTGAAATGAAGTAACTGGCACTTAGTCATTCTCAGAATTGAACTGCCAAGGAATGTGAAGTGTGTGTTGGCAATGAAAAAAAATTTGGTCTGAAACTGATTATTTTGAAAAATAAAGTCCTTTACGTATTTTCACTTGGGGAAAATATTGTAGCCTAGTATTGGGAATCTTTGATACTGAGGAGGAAAGGAAACTCCCTCCCCTCAGATGGTCTTGACAGGGAACAGCTCTCTGCGGTTTTCTGGGAAGGAAGAGGGTGTATAGTCAACCTGCAGATGAGTTGTTTGGTTTGATTAAAGTTTGATGGCAGAAAACCATTCTAAGATATAAATGGGTGTATGGTCACTGGGGACAACGTCTTCTGAAAGGTTTTAAAGAGTTGTGTCAGTTAACATAACAGATGCGAAGATAGTATATTCATAAATAGAAAAGTAAAACACCTGGCACCACTACCAACCTATAAATTAACACCTTGGTTTATACTCTCCAAGAGGATTTTAAATGTCTCACTGTGTTACCCTAGGTTTTCATCCCACCTCTATCCCCCCCCCCCCACCGATACTTATAGAACTACACAATAATCTTCTGTTTCTTCTTGGAAGCTTGGAAGAACCTTGACAGGATGGGTGCAGCGAACTTTCCAGAGCACCCAGGCAGCTACGGCTTCCTCCCGGAATTCCTGTGCAGCTGATGACAAGGCTACTGATCCTCTGCCCAAGGACTGCCCAGTCTCCTCGTACAACGAATGGGACCCCCTAGAGGAAGTGATAGTGGGCAGAGCAGAAAACGCCTGTGTTCCACCGTTCACCGTGGAGGTGAAGGTACAGCGAGGGTGTTCACGTGTCTGCAGTGGGGTCACACTCCTCACCTTCTGTCTGGCTTCTGCTCCCGCTGTCCTCTGCAACTGTTTTCACTTAGTTCACTCCAGAGTCCCAAGTCCAGGGCTGATTTTAAGTTATCTTAATTGGCATATCTGCAGTATTTGATACTATTTTCACAAATGATAACTCCCTCCGTTAGCTTCTGAGAGACTCCTTTCTGGAGATACTCTTTTGCTATTCCTCACATCTTCCTTCACTGTCTGTTGTGTTGGAGTTGAATAGAATTTTACGGTTGGCCTTCTCCTCTTGGCTGTTCTCACAGTTTCAGATCCTACCTCCACTCTGGTCCAAACTTCTCTCCTGAACTCTGTTCAGTTCAATATGTCAAACTCCTTACTGGATGTTGCCACAGGACATTAAACTTGGCATATCGTGAATTCAACTGCCAATCACTCTGCTAAACTGGACCCTTTTTTTCATTTTTTCCTTTAAGTTTTTGGCATTCCTATTTACTCAGGCTAAAACACCAGTGAATCATCTTTGATTTCTATTGCAGTCATATCCTCCATGTCCACTCTCCAAGATCTAACAAGCCTTTTGTCAAAATGAGCCTTGCCCCCATCCCTCTGCCACTGCTTTAGGTCAGGTTGTCATCTACTGCCTGGACTATTGCAGTTAACTCCTAACTGGTCTTTTCCATTTGCTCTTCAAACCACCATCTAGCAGAGTGATTTTTTAAAAAAACAAAATTCAATCATGTTACTCATCCTGCTCTTATTCATTCCTCCTGTACTTTCTACCTTATTTCTTAAGATAAAGTCCTCATGGTATTCAAGATCCTTCATAATTTGGCTCTTGTCTGCCTTTTGAGGACTCCCCATTTCACTCCCTGGCTCGTTTTAGAGATGTGTTAGTATGGCAGGTTAGCAGATATGCATTCCTATCGGGTGTCTCTCATCTGTAATATTCCACCCTGGTTTTCAGCAGACTTTTAAAGATCACCCTATAAGCAGCCAAACCAGACTACTCACTAATCCCCAAACAAACCTTATACCTTTGCTCTCACCTAGGTCTCTCCCACCTTTCTTCCTGCACCCCTTGTTTGCAATTTAAACCTATCCCTCTTACTAACACTTAGCTCCAAAGGCACCCTCCATTTGTGGCCTTACAGGATTTTTGTGTAACAAGTAGTATCTCCCTTTTTAAAAGACTCCTTATGTTCTTCATGTATAATATTTTATGGCCAGGACTGCCATAGTTTGTCATTCAGGTTGTGTACTGCATAGGGGTCCCATATCTGAGGGAGTGCCATCAACACTGTAGACACAGCCTAAGTTCCCATTAATAATGGGTTACAAACATATCTTCAATGTACTTACCATAAATTCTTCCTGAATATTGACATTTGTATTTGTAATATGGATCGATGAAATAAGTTCTTTTACTTCATTGTCATCATCATCATAAATGTTGCCTACATTGTACCAGGGCTCCAGAGGTATAAGCAGAAAGTAACTTAGTATGAGATACTATGTTCACATAGAAAGAAAGACTAATACTAAGCATCTTATGCCAACCAATTGGCAAGGCAGTTGAACTGAAGTGCCAGGGGAGCTAAGGAAAAAGTGATGACCAGGTGCTGAATAGTTGGGAAATCTTTAAAAAATGATTCTTGTGTTAGATCTTGAAGACAAAGTAATGGAAAAAGTAGTAACTTCTGATTGTTCTGAAACTACCTTTGGTTCTGATACTTGAAATTTGATGAACAGGTTGATTTCTATGTTATCCACATGTTTTAAAAGGCATGATCTTTTAAGTCTTTTCTTGGAAAGATGTCCCATCCCATAACCATTTTAATAGGTGAAATTAAATTTCAACTTCAAGGAACAGATTATCCTTCTGCTTGTCTTTAAAACTATTCACTTTCATACCATGTGCTCTTATGTAATCAGAGTTCTCAGACATTATTTTGAGTTTTTTGTCACTTGACTTATAACTTTAGACTTTGTCATTTCAAGGGACTGTGGGAACTGAACCAGGATGAAGTCAGGAGGCTGGGATTGAATTACGTATTTGATAAATTTTAGATAACTAGTCTCAGTTAATCAGCTATTTGACCTTGTGCAAGATTCCACAAATTCCTGGGCCTCAATAAAATGAAGGTATTAAGAAGTCTGCTATCTACCTAACAAGATTAAATGTGAATATAAACTGTTACATGTTAACTATTTTAAAGGATAAAATCATAACATTATAGTTGTATTGGTCCAGTTTGCTAATTACATTATGAGAGTACATTGGGAGTATAATGGTTGTAGATATTAGTAGCATTAGCAGTATTGATTTCTGCTTTATGTTACATACTAAAAACTAGGCATTGCCTAGGCTAAAAACTGTGGCTGGGTGGCACAGTTGGCTGAAGCATCATCCGTACACCAAAAGGTTGTGAGTTTGATTCCCTGTCAGGGTGCATGCAGGAGGCAACTGATCAATGTTTCTTTCTCATCTCTCTGTCTCCCCTTCTCTCCCTCTCTCATTCCATCCCTCCCTTCCTCTCTCTCTTCCTCTCTCTAAACAGATCCTTAGGTTAGGTATTGAGAAAAGTAAATCTAAGAAATGCATGACCCCTAGAAGGCAAGGCCTTACCTTCTAGTTGGAGGAAAATGACACAGATTAATCAGTTTTGGGAACAGTGAAAGATAAAACAATATAGTAAACTATGCAATTCAAGCATACAATATGTGGGGAGATATAAGTGCTAGAGAAACTTTATGGGAGCGAGTAACACAATTGTCAGGAAGCACAATTTTTAAAAGCTAGATGGCTTTTTAATTCTATAAAATATAAAGAATACTTTCCATCAAATATGTGCTTTTTGTTTTGCCTTTGCCTTTTTAAATAAAGTCATTGATAAAGGACCTCTTGTAAAATATAAAAATCAATCAAAGTTAATGTAATACATTTGCAGCTGGATAAATAAAAAATTTCTATTGAGATTTCCTAGTCTTCCAAAGACCTTATTTAAAACCCATTTGGCAACCACTGCAGAAAGATTTTAGGCTCTGAAAGACTACAAAGTCTCCAGGAATGCTGCCACATCTCTACAGTATTAAAAACATAATATGCTACGCATTTTTTTAAATCTTGCAGACACTTGGTAAATCATTGCTAATTCATTTAGCAGGGTTGTAAAAAAGTATAAATAGTTCCCAATTATCTCTTGGAAAATGTAATGTACCCTGATCATTTGGACTTTGTCCAGCCTTAGCCAGAGTATATGTATATAAGTCACACTTGTTCAAACAACTTTTTTCTCCCAGGGAAGTTGACTTTAATATTTATCTAGGCAAGCTTCACTCTGCACAAATAGTCCCACAGGATACTTTGGAATACGCCTGGCAAGACAACATGGCTGTGCATCTGCTATAACCCAGTGTCAAATTTTCAAAGGCTTCTTGTCTTTCAGTGGATTATAAGAGATGTGCCTGGCATGAGAAGGAGGAAGTGGTGAATGGATGCAGTACCAGGATGTGTCTGAGAGGAATATAAAGAGTCATTATTATCCTCTCCTTCTGGTTGCTGCTACAGGACTTCCTAGGTGTAGAATACAGTAAAGTGCTTTTGTTTTGTTTTTTAAAAAGAATGGATTGATCTTAAAAAGCACATTTTTAATACTGATAACATTTTTCATGGACCAGATATTGAGTCTGTTGTTTGCCTATAGATCTTCAAGAGTAAAACAACTAACCGATAATTTAGACAGGGGTCAGCAAACTTATTCTGTATAGGACCAGATAATAAATATTTGCAGACCACAGATCTCTGTTGCAACTACTCAACTCTGCCATTGTAGTGCAAAACACTATAGGCACTGTTCCCATAAAACTTTATTTACAAAAACAGAGGCAGATTTAGTTTAGAGCTTCACTGGCATTCTTCATTTGCTAACAACCTGTTTTTTAGATTCTTAATCTTTCTCCAGCAGGCTCAGCTCAGGTCTAACTGATGTGAGCCTAGACACTCAACTAACAAGAGGTGGGTCTGCTTTCATATGCTTGATATTCATTAGGCTGAGGTGAAAATGGAAGTGAAGACAGAAAATCTGGAAAACACAGTGTCTTTGATATTTAAAGAGCTAGACATTTAGACAAACTGTATTTCATCACTCAATTTTCCTTTCTTGTCTGAAACTGATCAGTGAAGGAAACCTTATCTGACATGATCAAGACTGGTAGTTAGTTAATCAATGATATATGGAAATATTTTTTTACATTTTAAACATTTTTTAAACTTAAAATATATAAATGTACATTGCTTAGCCAACCTTTTGATGAAGGCCCAGGGCTTTTTCTTAGCTTTTGGATCTTCTGACCAGAATTCTACTTCATCTGTATACTTGATAAATTACATCCCTATGCATCACCTGCATTTCCCCACATAGTTCTTTAAATTGAATGAGAACTCAGCCACATGCAAAAGTCTCATGCAGAACAATCTCAATGAAGAATCCTCTAAATTTTTATACTTTCAAAAATTGATTTATTACAGTTATACCTACCCTAATTCAGCAGTAATTTTTAACAAATTAGTTGAGCCTTTAAAAAAAAAAACCCTTCACCCAAGGATATGTTTATTGGTTTGAGAGAGAAAGAGAGAGAGAAACATTGATCTGACTGCTTCCCATATGTACCCTGAGCAGGGATCAAACCACAACCTAGGTATGTGCCCCAACTGGGAATTGAACCTGCAACCTTTTGGTGTACAGGACAACATTCCACCCAACTGAGCCACCCAGTGAGGGCTGGTTGATCCTTTTTTTTTTTTTTAAGCATTCAGCTGTTTTCCACTCAGTTGTATTTAAAATGCATATAATCCTTGGTCACTTTCTAAATGTTAAGCTTTATATTTTTTTAGCTGCTAAAAATTTGTGAGTTCACTTATTAGATAGCTTTCTTCTATGGCAAAAGGACCTGAAGCAATGAGAGTTGGATGGTTTGGGGAGAGGAGAGGTGTGGTGGGGTGAGACATGTTGGCAGGGAAGGCTAGGAAGCACCAAAGGGAGACCTGCACTACTGCACAATTTTCCAAGTGGTAACTCTGTTGGATGGGAAAATCACTGATACATTTTTAAGAGAAACAAAACATGAGAGTATGTCCCTAACCTTTAAGGAGGCAGCTCCCTATTTTCCTACAAAATATCTTTAAATGTTCTTTTCTAGACAGAATTCTGGGATGTATGGATAACCCATGGTTTTATCTTAAATAGGTGCCCTTTTATTCTCTTATGCTATTTCATTTGTTCTCTTTTTTTATTTCATTGAGACTGTCTGTTTAACAGGACCACTTGTGTCCTGTTTTGTCTGTGAAGCACGTACAAACTGGCCCAAGAGGATTCCAAGCCCGTGTGAGGGCCGACACACTGAGTGGTATCAGGCAAAAGAAGTGAAAGGTCTCAATACATCCAGGGAATTTAGACTTCTTCATTCAACAAATATTGAGTGTGTTCCCATAGAGGCGTTGTACTCTGTGCTGGGGATCAACACAGGACAAGACATGGTCTTAGTCTCAATTCTGTTAAGTTATATAAATCATGGTTCTCCTATAAACCTAGCATGAGTTGTATTTTTCTTCTATAAGTATCTCACTTATTATCTTCTGCTTCTTAGGCCAACACATACGAAAAGTATTGGCCATTTTACCAGAAGCATGGAGGCCATTATTTTCCCAAAGATCATTTGAAAAAAGCTGTTGCTGAAATTGAAGAAATGTGCAATATTTTAAAAATGGAAGGAGTGACAGTGAAGAGGCCTGACCCCATTGACTGGTCAGTACAGTATAAAACTCCTGATTTTGAGTCTACGGGTAAGTGATGTCAGATCCCTAAATTGCTAGTGTCTTAATTTTTACTTTATTTCTTAATGTGTAAGGAGAAAACTGATAATTTCTCAGATATTTCTTTGTTTCAATAATTCTTCAAAACTTTAAAGATTATTTAGGAACAGTTTGGTTCTTTTTATATGATTAAGATGTACACATTCAAAATTTCATTGTCAATCTGAAATCTCCTTGAAAGAATCAGTTTTTCTAAACTTTATGGTAATTTTCTTACATAAGAACAGTGGATTCTATTTAATTTTCCTCAAGAACAGAAGTAAAGAGAGGAACAGAAACATTCCATTTTTCACTGACCCTGCCACAAGACTATTTGTGGGCCGGAGTTCATTGTTCTATCTAATTTATAGCTCTAGATGCAATCCATGGCCCAGTTTTTACCTTGTGGTACAGATATTCCCTGAAGAACTCTGTTTCTGTGTAGCAAGGAAGGAGCTTACAAAAGGCAAAAACTTGGTGGTTCCAGACCTCTTTGCACAAGGACCTTATTTCATTTTTTTCTTTTCTATTTTTTGTTTGGCTTCACCATCCTCACACAGAATTCATGTTAATAATCCAGTATATATCGTTCCATATTTTTCCCATTTGCATATAATTATGTACATTCACACTACTGATTTTCTGTGACTTTTATTTTACAAAAAAAAATGGGATGCTATTGACTTTTCTATCTTGCAAATGAGCACTACTGAGGTCATTGTGCAACTCTGTGGTCCAACAGGTTTGTATGGTGCGATGCCTCGAGACATTCTGATAGTTGTGGGAAATGAGATTATCGAGGCTCCCATGGCCTGGCGCGCTCGCTTCTTTGAGTACCGCGCATACAGATCAATTATCAAAGACTACTTCCGCCGTGGCGCCAAGTGGACAACCGCTCCAAAGCCCACAATGGCTAATGAGCTTTATGACCAGGTAAGTCCCTAATTATAGGTGTGCTACTAGTAACTTTTCTACATGATCCCAGAGAGTGAGATGGAAATTCTCTAATACCATGTATTTGTTACACGTTTTATGATGAAAATAAGAGTAAATGACGTTGTGGTAATACTAGTAATAATGGCTAATATCAATACTTATTTTGGTGCTTACCTGTGCCAGGTCTTGCGCTAAGCACTTTATTTACAGCCTCAGTCCTGCTTCCACTTCACAAGCCCATGAGGAAACAGTATCATTCTATGACAGGCATTTGCCTGAAGGCACACAGGTGTTCATTGGTGGACAGAGAAAAGTCACTAGACTCCATTCTCTTCTAGAAAAAGAATGTAGTCAAAGAATTTGGTCTACAAGCCAAATTCACAGTAAAAGGAAGTATATGTCCCTTATTGCATCACTTTGTATTTGATAACTTATAGAAATAATTTAAAAATCAAAATTTTCTTCTAGGGGTTTAAATAGAAATAAATAATAAATTCATTCCACCACACCCAATCAAATTTGGCAGGGGAAACATAGCATCTCATTTTACGGTAACAGTTAGGCTCGGGACCAAATTCCTTTTCTAAAAGAACAGAATGACTTCATCCTGTTGACTTTCAATATTGTAGGTAGCTACACTACATAAATCAATGTCATGGAATATTTTTGAAATCGTTCCTGCCTCTGTACCATTTGCTTCTAAGTATCAGGAAATTGCTGTCATGCCATTTTTTGTTGTTAATTGTTTTTGTTTGTTGTTGTTTGATTTGCATGGGCCTACATCTTGCATATTTTAGTCTAATACTGGGTAGTAGTAGTAGTAGACTGGGTAAATGATGATGATAAACTAATTTTCTTAGCGATCAATGTCCTAAAATAATTTCCTCGTGAACCAATGCACTGTGTTCATTCTTGTTCCAATAGGATTACCCCATTCATTCTGTAGAAGACAGACACCAGTTGGCTGCTCAGGGAAAATTTGTGACAACTGAATTTGAGCCATGCTTTGATGCTGCTGACTTCATTAGAGCTGGAAGAGATATTTTTGCACAGAGAAGCCAGGTTGATAAAGACTGCCTACGCAATTTCACACATTATTATTGTATTTTTAATTTCCAAATTCAAATATTTTCATCCTATTTTCAGTTTTCTATTCACAGAACCAAATCTTTATAGGTTTTATCTTCCTTTTGTTTTCAGGTTACAAACTACCTGGGCATTGAATGGATGCGTAGGCATCTTGCTCCAGATTACAGAGTGCATATCATCTCCTTTAAAGATCCCAATCCAATGCATATTGATGCCACCTTCAATATCATTGGACCTGGTCTTGTGCTTTCCAACCCAGACCGACCGTGTCACCAGGTAAGGAAGTTTTTAGGGCTCTGGAAAAGTAATAGAGTCTGGCAATTAAAGGAATTGCCACTTATATTTTAAGTACTTCTATGATTCCTAATGGGTCTAAATGACAAATTCAACAATGTTCAACATAATTATTATCAATAATTGGATTACTTATGTTACATTTACTACAAGATATCCAACACTCAGACCTATACCGTGTAGTGTCATCACACTTTGGCTGCTGCGAGAGCCTGGAGGTTGTGCCTGTATGTATGTTTTTACTGAACACAGTGATATCACAGTAGTTCCCCTTTATCCTCGGGCATACGTTCCAAGACCCCTTGTGGATGCCTGATACCATGGGTAGTACTGAACCCTATATATGCTCTTTTTTATGTACACATATGTGTGAGAGTTTAATTTATTAGTTAGGCACAGTTAAGAGATTAACAATAATAACTAATAATAAAATAGAACAATTATAACAATATACTGTAATAAAAGTTATGTGAATATGTGGTCTCTCTCTCTCTTTCTCAAAATACCTAGAATTTTCCATTTAATATTTTCAGACCATGGTTGACTGCGGGTAACTGAAACCACGGAAAGCAAAACCACAGATAAGAGCCAGGGTCAGGGGTGGGGGCTATTATGTATCATAACTTGCAGCCCAGATTCCAATTGCAGCTGCATTGCAAACAAGATGATCCCTGCGTATCTGGGGCAATGCCATTGCCCACGGGCAGTGGGTGTCTTCTTCCCTCTCTAGTGGGTCAGGCCTCCTTCGGCCAGCCCCACCCTGGAGGGAGGAGCAGAGCCGCTGCACAGTAGCTGGTGTCCCTATCACCTGCACCTCCTACTTCCGTCTGCTGCCCCCTACTTCCACTTGGTTGGTGAGTGATTCTGTTCTTTGCTGGGCTGCAGTACATATTTTTAAAATCACTATTTTACCACATCACTCTTCATTTTTATCCCATAAATTAAGACCTAATGACCAAGATTATTATTCATTTTAATGTAATTCATTGCTATACTAAGAGGGTCAGTGAATATAGGGATGGTTGAGTTATAATAAATAGGTCACTAAGGACAATTAGGGTTCTTTGGGAGTACAACCTTAACATTTGTCATTATACCACGGTCACAGATACAAAGTAATGGGCTATGAAGTGGATGAACTCTGGGTTTGACACAGTCACATTTTTGTTTTCTTGTAACTAAATAGTTAGGAAATATTTTCATTTTCCTTAAATAGAATGTCTCAAGGAAATTATCTTTGCTATTTTAAAATCTCTGAAACCTAAGAAAAGCACAAGAGTGTTTTTTTAAAGCTTTAACATTTCTGCTACTACTTAACTTTAATCTGGTAATCTGAGGATTTTACGTACATTTTAGATTGGGATTCAAACAAAATCATCCAAATGTCTTAAAATTTTAATTTCTTTATACTGACAATTGAGAAGACAGCTTCTAAGAAATAATTATTAATCATAAGTGCTACCAGAGACCAAGAATGATAAGAATAGTATATATAGATTTAAGCCTCTTGGGGTTTTTTGGTCTTGCAGATTGATCTTTTCAAGAAGGCAGGATGGACCATAGTTACTCCTCCAACACCAGTCATCCCAGATGGTATGTTTACTTTTATATACTCACAGGCTAAAACAATTACTTCACTGACCAAGAATCTTGCACTTATAAGACAGCAGCCCAAATTTTTAGCAATTCAGGAAAAAACAGTTCCCCGGTAGGGAGTGAACTGGTGCTTGAACAAAGCTGGACTTGCGTTCACAGCCTCTCCTTCCACAGAAAACAAGAAGATGGAAAAATCACTATAAAATAGCATCTCATAACGCAAGAAATGACTTTATAAATAAAACAAAGTGAAATACAAATGTGTAATAAGTATAGACTGATTCATAACATTTATAAATTGTCTTAAGATAAAAATTTTTCAGGGAAAGTAAACTCTGAAAATTGAACTGACATTTTATATTCTTCACTTTCAAATCCTTGCTTTAAACAAAGATGCTAGCAGACATGATTTAAAAGTCGTTGCTATTTTTAGATCACCCACTCTGGATGTCATCCAAATGGCTTTCCATGAATGTCTTAATGCTGGATGAAAAACGAGTTATGGTGGATGCCAATGAAGTCCCAATTCAAAAGATGTTTGAAAAGCTGGGTATGTACAATATATGAAATGTTGTCATGTATGAAGAACTGAAGAAATGACATGATGGGTCTGTTGTATGCTTTACCTAACTGCTTTTCTGTTCCTCTTAGAGGTACCAAGTTATTATTTTATAGATAGATAATATTTTTGTTTTCAATAATCATAATCTCAAAAGGTTGGAGATGCATTGCAGGCTCTTTAGTCATTCCCTTAGCAATAAATTTATCCATCGTCTATGACTTATCTAACTTCCTGGTGTCCATGTGTGGAGAGCTACCCTTTTGTTGTTCAGCATGCACATTACTCAGCTCTTCCCCAAATAAGAAATTGTTGAGAGTACACTAAAGTCATTTCTCATTACATATTTTAAATGACAATAAGGGTACAGATACAGAAGTGATTTATATGTGTGATAAGCACAATGAACAAAGTAATGAAATGCAATAGATATCATTCTATTGCATTAATGAAATGCAGTAAATCATTCAACTTTGAACTAAAAAGCAGAACTGGTTTTTATTTGGGTTACCACCCTGATAACCCAAAATATCAGTATTTGCTTATCCTGATATTCAAAGTTTAGGCCAGATATTCTAATACAATGGAGAAAAAGCGTTGGAAGGATTTTCATATGGCTATTATATAGATTATAGAAGTATGTATGCTGACCACTCTTAATATATTTGATGTAACCTAAGTGTCAAGTAAAGCTAGGTAGGAAGTACACTTGCTGTAATAGAGTCAAGTTTTGAGTTATTTTAGGTGTTCTACCCAGAAAAAATTATTTGACCCTGTGACACACCCCTCCTTAATGTGACATCAGTATAAAAGGATTGGCCTGTCAGAATTGGACTGAGCCCAATGGAATGATTTAACCCCTAATGCTATGCCGCTTTTTTTTTTTTCTGGCTTTCATTAAGTAACCCAATTGCTTGGGTTCAGTTTCTTTATCCGCTAAGCTTTTATTATTTCTCAACTTAAAATATTATTGAGTACCAAAGATCTGATTTAACATTTTATTTGTAATAAAGTCTTTTAAAGACATAGTGAACTTGTTAGAACAAACCTTTCCAAGTAACTGAATTCTCTCCAATTTCAGGATTATGGATCTAGCAATCTGAATAAGATAGATACATCTGTCTATCAAGAAAGATGCTTTTATTTAAAAGCCCACCCATTATCTCAAGCCCACTCCTTCCCTCTGTCCGACCTATTCTTACTCTTCAGAGCTCTGCTCACTATCACTTTCTCAGGAAATTCTTTCCAGATGACTCATGCTGCCTTCCCCTCCCTGCTGATACCAGTGAACCTTTACTAACTCTCTAGCTTATCTTTCATCTCAAAATAATGGGTTCTTGAGGGAGAACACGGTTGTTCTTTTTAAAACCCCAGTATGCCAAACACAACAGACTCTTCCCAAACACCACTGGTTGACTGGGTGCATCATAGCCATGTTAATACAAACGATGTTAGATTAAATTAATTGTCAGAAGCTTTGGTACGTGTATGACCATACAACCCAGATATTAAAATATGAGCTCAGTTCCATTGTTTTCTTAAGGTGGCCTAGTAAAGTTAATCATATTAGATAAACTTTGCTTATATGTAAGTTAGCGAAGTCAACTTTTCAGGTTGGGTAAATTATACTTTTCCTACTAAATTGACATGGTAAAAATAGAAAAGTCCAACAAAATAGTTAAAGCATAATTTTTAAAGGCCTTGAGATTTTACTGCTTGATTGTTTTTCAACTTTTGACAGGTATCTCTTCTCATCCTACCTATTGATTTGTGAATAGTCAATAGCACAAACTAGACTTCAGAATCTCTGCTGACTTTTTGGTGAATGTCTTATATTAGCAGTGGAATAGATCAGATGAAATATAATTAGTGAAAACAAAATTGAAAGATTCTCCTGGGTTGGGGCAGACTTAAGAAATAGAAACACAAGATTCCTGTCTGTCTTTAGGCTTACTTTCTATAGGGAAAGTTTCATGTGAGTCCATCTAACTGGCCACATCTCTCTCATTCAATACAGGTATCAGCACCATCAAGGTTAACATTCGTCATGCCAATTCCCTGGGAGGAGGCTTCCACTGCTGGACCTGCGATGTCCGGCGCCGAGGCACCCTGCAGTCCTACTTTGACTGACCATGCCTGATGAGGCGTGTCCTCAGATAAACCTAGGAAGTGTAGGACAAGGTTCATTCTCCTGCTTTAAAGAGTGCATGAACTGTAGTGCTTTAAACAATCATCTCCTTAACAGGGGTCTTAAGCCTGGTTTATTTTTATTCCTTTTCTTTGTTATAAGAAAAATAACTTGTGTTAGATCTTACTCTCTACTCCTAAATTTATTTGCTATTTGGCTTCAGGCATAAAAATTTGGTGAATGTGTACCAAGACAGAAATTAGTCCTTTGAGTAACTTGGCTGCTAATATTTAACCATCTACCTCTGTTTTTAATTGTTTTTCCAAAGGCAGCTTGAACTGTTGGTTCTAATCTTTTTTTTTTTAACTTTTTGCTACACTTGTGATATATCACTTCTTTCCTGAATGAAAGATTTAGAATGTTCACAAATCTTAAGTAGAACCAGATAATTGTCTCTTTCTAATAAGGAATTTTGGTAATTTTTTTAAAAGTAACCTAGACTTTGCAAACATTTAAGTGAATTTTCCATGAATGTTTTTAATATTCTCATCTCAACATTGGTGACAGTTGCTACTAAAAACCTTTTCATATAACTTACCTCATTTTAAGTGATTTAATCTCTTTTTCTTCTAAAATTTCACAGGAACATTTAGTGCAATAGTAATTATCAGTTCCCATCTCTAAATTTTGATATTCAGTATCTAATGGATACATTGCATCTGTGGTAATCTAAGATGTGTTTACAGATGTGCAAATTATTTAAAGTGCAGGCTTTAATAGCATTAAAAAAACTAATAAAGGTAAAAACCTACATGTGATGTGAAATAATTTTAATGTTCAATACTGTATGCATATTTTTATTCTAATAAACTTTTGTGTTACAGAATGGATTTTATTTGAGTTTGCCATTAGTCTAATTATTTTGAGCATAGGAAATTACAGGATGTAGCTCTTGGGACAGAACTCTAATCCTCTGAAATCTATATATTTATCCCTAGTAAATAAAAATTTAAACCTCATTCTTATATTCAGAAATGTTTAGCACAGTTCAATTTTATTTTTTAAATATATTTTATTGATTATGCTATTACAGTTGTCCCATTTCCCACCTCCCCTTTACTCCCCTCCACCCTGCACAGCCCCTCGCATCTGCATTCCCCACCTTTAGTTCATATCCACGGGTCATACAAATAAGTTCTTTGGCTTCTACATTTCCTCTATTATTCTTAACCTCCCCCTGTCTATTTTGTACCAACCATTTATGCTACTTAATACCTTTTCCCCCTCTCTCCCCCTCCCACTCCCATTCCCCCACTGATAACCCTCCATGTGATCTCCATTTTTGTGATTCTGTTCCTGTTCTAGTTGTTTGCTTAGTTTTTATTGTTTTTTTTTTACATTCAGTTGTTAATAGCTGTGAGTTTGTTGTCATTTTACTGTTCATAGATTTTTTTTAAGATTTTATTTATTTTATTTTTTTTTTAGAGAGGGAAGGGAGGGAGATAGAGAGAGAGAGAAACATCAATGTGCGGTTGCTGCGGTTGCTGGGGGTTATGGCCTGCAACCCAGGCATGTACCCTGGCTGGGAATTGAACCTGGGACACTTTGGTTCCCAGCCCGCGCTCAATCCACTGAGCTATGCCAGCCAGGGCTTACTGTTCATAGTTTTGATCAACTTCTTTTTCTTAGGTAAGTCCCTTTAACATTTCATATAATACGGGTTGGGTGATGATGAACCCCTTTAACTTGACCTTATGTGGGAAGCACTTTACCTGCCCTTCCATTCTAAATGATAGCTTTGCTGGATAGAGTAGTCTTGGATGTAGGTCCTTGCTTTTTATGACTTGGAATACTCCTTGCCAGCCCCTTCTTACCTGTAAGGTTTCTTTTGAGAAATCAGCTGACAGTCTTATGGGAACTCCTTTGTAAGTAACTCTCTCCTTTTGTCTTGCTGCTTTTAAGATTCTCTCATCTTTCATCTTGGTTAATGTAATTATGATGTGCCTTGGTGTTTTCCTCCTTGGGCCAACTGCTTTGGGACTCTCTGAGCTTCCTGGACTTCCTGAAAGTCTATTTGCTTTGCCAGATTGGGGAAGTTCTCCTTCATTATTTGTTCAAATAAGTTTTCAATTTCTTGCTCTTCCTCTTCTCCTTCTGGCACCCCTATGATTTGGATGTTGGAACATTTAAAGATGTCCTGGAGGTTCCTAAGCCTCTCCTCATTTTTCTGAATTCTTATTTCTTCATTCTGATCTGGCTGAATGTATCTTTCTTCCTTCTGCTCCAAAGTTGATTTGAGTCCTGATTTCCTTCCTGTCACGGTTGGTTCCCTGTAAATTTTTCTTTATTTCACATAATGCAACCTTCATTGCTGTCTGGGTCTTTTTTATGCTATTGAAGTACCCAGTGAGTTCCTGGAGAATCCTGATAACCAGTGTTTTGAACTGTGTATCTGATAGGCTAGCTATCTCTTCATTGCATAGTTGTATTTTTTCTGGAGTTTTGAACTGTTCTTTCATTTGGGCCATATTTCTTTGTCTCCTCAATTTGGCAGCCTCCCTGTGTTTGTTTCTATGTATTAGGCAGAGCTGCCTTGACTCCCTGACTTGGTGTGCCTGTTACATTGTAAGGGGCAGGGCCTTAGGTATTCTCTGGAGTGGGGCAACCTGCTTTGCCATTCTGTAGTGGCAAAGTTGCTGTATGTGAGGAAGTTGTTGGAGAGGGAACAATGCCAATTGCTTGGCACTCATCCCATTTCCAGTCACTTCACCCACTTCTTGCATGCAACTGGCCCCCCTCTAGCTGCTGCCCTGGTGGTGGTTCCCACACTGGGTGGGTTTACATATGTTCTAGGACTGCAGGGGCCATTTGAATGGACCATCTTGGTGAGACTGGCAGTTTCTTCTGCCGCCCCAACCCCCACTGGTTTTTTTACAGCCAGAAGTTGTGAGGCTTTATTTTCCCAGCGCTGGAACCCTGGGCTTCATGGTCTGGTCTGGGGCTGGGATCACTCACTCCCCAGGTGTCCCTCCCAGTTTTTATCTGCCACATGTGAATGTGGGTCGACCCATTCCACTGACTGCCGCCACACCATGTCCCCTCCACCCAGGCACCCTTCTCGCCCCTCCTACCTGTCTGTATGAATACCTCTTCTTTAAATCCTTGATTTGGACTTCCATGCAGTTTGGTTTTCTGGCAATTTTGATTGTTTTTGTTTTGAGGTTAGTTATGATCCTTCTTGTTGTTGTGCAAGGAGGCAAAGTGTGTTTACCTACGCCTCCATCTGGCCGAAGTCTCCAGCTTTCTCATTTTACACTGAGTTCTAATCTCTTTATTCTAACTTTGCATGCGAGCTACTTCCCTTAATTTTTTTCATTGTCTTTTTAAACTACAATACAATCATACAAATGATTGTACAAACAAACCATATAAACCTTACACTGATTTGATATATTAGGGGGTTTATTTTTATTCATATTTTGTACATAACTTTTTTATCTGTAAGTCATACATGGTGCTACTATGTGACCCAGCAAGTAATTACACTCCTGTATCCAGGAGAAATTAAAGCACGTGTTCACACAAAAACATGTATCCAAATGCTCATAGCAACATTTTTCATAATTGCCAAGAAGTGGAAATAACCCACATGTCCATTCATCAGTTGGAAATAGCCAAATAACTCACTAATAAAATGTGGAATATCCACACAATGGAATTTTGTTCAGCCATAAAAAGGAATGAAGTCCTGATAAGAGCTACAAAAGAAATGAAACTTGAAAACATTTCACTGAGTGAAAGAAGCCAATTACAAGAGACCACATACTGTATGATTCCATTTCTGTGAAATGTCCAGAATAGACAAATCTATAGAGACAGAACGTAGATTAGTGAAGGACTGGCGCCTGAAAGAGAAATGGGGAGCAACTGCTAATAGGGTATCGGGTTTCTTTGTGGGATGACTGTTTATAGTCTGTGTTCAGTTATCTGATAATCTGATAACTGGAGTTCCTGTGATGTTTCTTTTGAATGTTGTTTTGCTGAAGGAGGCTTTTCTCCTCCTGCATCTGCAATCTTTGGCTGTGTGGTGTAGTTTGTATATAAAATTTTATTTTTAGAAATAATTTGAAGCCTAGATGGATGTTATCTTTCTTTAAAATAATTTTGATTGCTTTTTTCAGGTACCTAGTAGTGCCAGCAATCAGGTATCATCTTAATCCAAATCCAGGCTAGAGATGTCACTGGACTACCCAGATGACTTTGGGCTGTAGACCGTGCAAGGGTTGGTTTGCTTTCACTTCATCTTAATTCCTAGTGTGCCACTGGTGTTGTGCACAGCCACATTCGAGCCTGAGGCCAAAGACATGTCAGTACCACTGATCCCGTCTGTATTTTAAAATTTGATATTTTGTTCATCATGAATTTTTCACCTATTTTATTAATTAATTTTAATTGCTAACACTGCATTAAAGTATTTTTTATCTGAATTGCTGAGTTTTTTTGGTCCCCTCTAAATTTTGTGCCCAACACAGAACACTTCACTTACCTAGCTCCGCTCCTAGCCTTGATAATTTTACATCTGCTTTGGGGTTTTTACATCCTGAGAGTTTGAAGAGACAAAGCTATGGGTTCCCCAACTTCCTGTAAAACCCTCTAGTGATTTGGGGGGCATTCTTAATTTTCTCCTTTATCATGCTATTTAGAATGAACTGTCTAAAGACTTCCACACAACTAGAGACTGAAGTGGATAAACATAAACATTTATCTTCGCTTTCCCCTGAAACTGCCCTAAAATGATAGTAGCAGAGTAACAATGTGAAAACCTACAAAGACTAAGTGAAGGGAAAAGAGAAAACAATAAATGAGAGCAGTCCATAATTTTTTGGAAGACAGGGAGCTGATGGAAGAGTGACATCGCAGACAAGGAGCAGGGAGCAGAGAACGAGAAGTGAGCCAGTTCACCCCACAGAATCCCACAGGAAATGTGTCGTTCTCATTATCAGTCATGAGGGAGAGGCAACAACAGTTTGCATTCACATGTTATGGTTTATAATGCATATTTGCTGTATCACCTCAAAGATTATTTGAACTCTACCATGTCACCGTCTGGTCAGGTGGGGCCCACATCTTGTACAACTGGACACTGTTCTAACAGACTATATAGACTATCTCAGAAACTGAGGATCAAGCTAAAAGTGACCTTAATATGACCATAAATCATATAACTGACTAGGGAAGATTGATTAACTCCAAAAAAAAAAGTCCAGGGCCTTGTACAAACTGTAAAAAGTGGGGCAATTGCACGAGCTGAAAAGGTAACACAATGGAGCTTGGGCTTGACTGCCCAGGACCCCCTGCTGTGAGGTGGCCTTTGTCTGTGATTCGAATCCTTTAACACTATTGCCGTTTTGTATCCTTGTCCTGCAATAAACTGTAGGTTTATAAGCATTGCCATTTTGGGTCCTTAGCAATCAAACCTCACTTAACTGTTTCTGTCAGTGAGCTAAATGATGGGAATCTGAGTACTTTTGCATTATTTTTTTCAGTACTAAAGAAATATTTCTAATGTCTCAAAAGAACCCATGTGTCCAAAAAGCTGACCCAGAAAAATCTGATGTAGTGCCCTTTTTCATTCTCCTGAACTATTGGGTGGTATTCCTATGTAGTTACAAGTTAACACACGATAGTGGTCAGATCCATGATCTTCATTTTTAAAGGTTATTCCTGAAATATAAATACTTTGCTTTTTAGTAGGAACTAGACTTGCCTCATGATGCCAAAACTAAATATTTTTATTTAACATTAAGTTTATTTTTAATGACAATGGTTCATCTTAATATACATAGCTGTTTCCTCTAGACAGGGATTTACAAAGAGGCTTGGTGTTCCC